AAAAGAAATATAGAATTTGAGGCTATGCGAATAAACTTTGAGTCTTTTTACTTTGATAGCTGAACTAATGACACCAATAATTTTGTAATATCATCTTTATTTTATAGTTTTTCTTTAAGTAACAATAAAGCCCCTTAAAAATGTTCATGCGATATATTAAATAAATTATTGTACATCCAACTGTTTTCAGGTAATTTTTCATCAATTTATTATTCATCACTCAATTTATTATTATATATATTTTCTAATTGATATAATATGTATTTTGCAACAAAAAATTCTTATATTGATTTATGAGTAAATGAATGTTAACTTCCTTTAGAGCTCAATAGAATACATTTTCTTATTAGCTTTTTGTAATCAGAATCAGAATCCAATTCACTAAAATATTAATCTTCCCATTATAATTATTATTTTTACTTTTATTAACTTATTGAAGAAAGCATTAATCTACCTTTTGGCTGATAATTCACTTAAAATTATTGATGTATTATCATATCTAAAGCTAAAGATTAAGAAAACTCTAATAAATCAATTGAAATCATCTGTTAATTAGATATTTTTCCTAATTCAATCCATTTTTATATCTATTGTTAATGGTAGTAATTAACAAACATCTCATAAAAATCATAGGTAGTAAATTAATTAATTTTTAAAGATTAATAAATTACTTCAGCATCAAATTTTAATTTATATTCCGCATTTTATTATATTATGAATGAATCCTTTTCTTCTACCTTAGAGGATATTTAGTATTTCTCAAAAAAACCTTGATCTTCTAATTCAATCATAATTTCAGATAATTGTTTTTCAATTTCTTCGTTAAAATTGACTTCTTTAAAAATGTCTTCTAATTTAATTGCGTTTTTTGATCGATAATTTTATAACGCTTGCTGTGATTTAAGTATTGAATATTTCAATTTTTATAATTATTTTTCAACAATTCTCTTATTGTTGAAGATTTTAAATAGTTTTAAGAGATTTTTGGTAAAATTTATACAATTATCTCCATCATAAATGGTGTTTTCAAAAAATCGTTAATTTTTAAATTTTCAATTATTTAGGTGAATTTTTATTCACTCCATAATGAAAGAAGTCCTTTTTATAAAAATAAAAACTATTGGTCTTTAACAAATTAAAATTGTGGTATTTATTTTAATTTTTTAACTATTTTTTTTGCATCTTGATCTTGCACAAGAATATCCTAGTTTTATGAAGCTTTTATAATTTCCTCTATCAAACTGTCTAGTTATAAACAAATGTCTCTAAATTCAGAAAATATAAATCCACTGCCTTTTAATTATTTAATCATTTCATAAAATTATGATAATTCTCTTCTTATACTTAGTTTAATAAATAATTTAATGTAACAATTACTTTATTCTTCATCATATGGAACCAATTAAACCTCTTTAAATGAATCAATACTTTTTCCATAAAACCAAGATTAATAAGTTAAAGATGTTAATATTTCTTCTCTACAAGTAATAATAGCTTTGATCTTCTATCCAGATTCTTAAAGACCTAGATCTTAACTCAAACGATTTGTTGTAATTAAATTTGTTTAAATAAATTCATTTTTCATCTCATCATAACTATCCAATATCAAAACAATTTTTAAATTTTCATTTTAGATTGCTTCTTTAAATTCTCTTATTTATAATTTATCAAAATTGTAATTTTCTGATTCTAATCCTTAATCAATTAAATTATGTAATGGATCATTTAAAGAAGGTAAAGAAATGTAGATTGGATACCAATTTGGCTATTAAGTATCAAATTTCCATAAAAATTCTTCAATATTTCTTGCTGCTCTGCTTTTACCAGAACCAGCTTTTCCTTTTAATAATAACACATCTTTATATCTTTCTTTTTCGTCCCATAAAAATTCATTCATTTCACCCTCATAATCATTTTAATCGTCTTTAAAAAGAAATGTGATTTAAGGAGTATATTTATTTTCCAGAGTTACTTTTTATCCAGTTTTTGGATCATACTCCTATGTTCTCTAGTCAATATAAATTTAATTTAATTCATTTTCTTCCTTTTATTTTAATACTTTTTCTTTTCTTAATTATAATAATTCATAAATATTCTTGCCTCTCAATCTTCTAACATCATTTCCAATATCTGATACATTTTTTATTAATTGATCAAGTTTACATTTTATCGTTTACAAATTTTTGCTTATATCTTTTAAAAAAATCATTTAAATATCTAATTTTTCAGACATATCATCTAAATTATCTAAAAATATTTCAAATTCATTAAAAGCTTGCTAAAACTAAATTTATAATTCCTCTGAATTATCATTTTAAAAGATTTAATTCTCTAATTCCTCAATTTATTTTAATTTATTTTACATATCTTGTTTTAATTAATTTGAAAATAAAGAAAGATCTTTTGAAAATAATTATTTTTACATTTCAATCATCTCTTGATTTTATAAGACTTTCCTTACACTAGGATTTTTTTCAATAATCCAAATTTGTTTTAAAAGGCTAGAACATATTTCTTATATTGTTCCCTCTTAAACAATATATTAAGCTCTTATCAAATTAAATACAAGTACTTCTCTCACTTTATAAGAAGTATTATCAAATACAGTTAATATCCCTAAATTTTTTTATTAGATTGATTCCAAATTTTATTTCTAAAACATAAAATTCAGATTCTCATCAAGTTTAATTTCTTCAAATTAATTGTCCATCATATCTGATTGATTTATATTTGAATCAAACAAAGTTAAATAAGATTAATATAAATCGCATTATTAACATTAATTTAGCGTATTTTCTTCTTCTTTATTAACTATATTCTCACTGATATTTTCTAATTGTTAAATGTTTTTTTAAATTTACTCTTAAAGGTTTTTTAGAATTGATTCTATATTTACAATGTCTTAAATATTTGAGTTTGAGTTTTATTCTTTATTTTGATCATTTTGCATCATTAAAAGAATATTTAAATTAGTTTTTAGTACGAATTTTATTTTTTTTATCATTTACAATATATTGCTTAGAGATTTAATTAATTCAGGTACTTAATAAGAATTATTTTCTTTTTTATTAGGCTTACTATTTTATTGTTTCTCATCCTTTATTACAAGCTAAGAATTCTTTCTAATTAAATCTGGATCTTCATTAGTAAAACTTTCAAATTTTTTTTCATAAATTTCTAAGATTTCTTTTATAATTTAAGCTTTATTGTTAGGTATAAATAAAATTTTCTATAATTTATTAATTACTTCTTTAAAAATAGTTATAAAACTATTTTTAAAATCTTAATCAAAATCGGCATTAGAAACCCTTGCAATGTCTTAAAGTATTGATTAAATAAAATCAGCATATTCTTAAGTTTCACCTTAACTCAACTCTGTAGAATTTTATTTACTTTAAATTAATTCTAATTTTGCTTTTTGGCTTTTTTTTATTTTAAGAATTTAATCTTTAAAATTTCCCTTGCTTAAACTGTTCAAATTATTTTCTTATGTTTAACTCAACTATTGAGTTAATTTTTCTTAAACTATTTTTAATTTAATACTATTAATTTATAAAAGTCTCTAAATTGCAAAAATAATAACAATAAGACTCCTAGACTCAATTAAGTACTATTGGTAATTTGCTGACTATAATTCCCATTTTTCAACTGAGAAATTCTTTTAAATAAATTATTTTGATTAAACTATCATTGATTTGAAAAAAGATAATGAATAAATTTCTTTTAATTTTTCTTACAGTATTTTTAATTCTAATGTTTCTTCAATTACCAATTCAAATTTTTTCGGGCATAATATTGATGTAAAGTTTTATTAGAATTCTTTTATTAAGTTAATTAACATATTTACTTGATCAATAACTTGAGTAACAGTAGAGTTAAATAATACTTAATTATAAGTATTTCCTTCATCTAATTCCTTTTAATCCTTTGGTTTTAAAACATCATAATTTATATGTATAAATTTAAATAAGGGAAACCAAACATCAAATACTTAATTTAGTTTCAATTATTTAAAAGATTATTAAATTTTATCAAAGGAATCAATAAATAAGTATTTTTCTGATTTTAATTAACAAGCTTCTTCATTTAATTTTAAAGTTTCCATAATTATGCTTATTTTTACTTTTTCTTAATTTAATTTGAAATCAATTTCATTACAAATATATATGAATTATAAAGTGTTTTATTTTAATTATTTCAATTCAGATTTTAGATCTTATTTTTAGATATTAAGTTTTATTTATTATACATTTTTATTATTAAATAATAATTTTTTTGAAGTTACTTCGTCAATTAATTTTAAAATCTTATCTCTTAAATTTTCTAAAAGTGTAATTAACTAAAAAATTTCATCACAGTTTGTTTAACTTCTCAGTAACTATAAATTTAAATCATATTTGCTTAAATTAGAATTTTATTTATTATTAATTTCAAAATTAATATATTAATGCCAAAAGTTGAGTTCATGAACTTCTTCAGATACGAGATACTCTTAAAATAATTTTATTTCCTTAAATATTTAATAGTTGGATTTTTTTACATTAAAAATTTAAACTCTTGCATAATTTTTATCATAAGGAATAGAAACTATATATTAACAATTTAATAGCTATTTAAAAAGTTCATAAGCTGGTTAGGTAGATTTAATTATATTTGGAAGATTTCTCTTGTCTATTATAGGTCTATATGAAATTAAGTCAGATATAACATTTATCCAACAAAAATGTATCATCCAATCTTTTGATGGTTCTATATATTTTTTATAACCTTCTTCAATTTATTTAATCTATTTTTATACAGAACAGCCTTTCAACAACTAATTTAAAATAGACCATTTCAGGCTTTCAAAAAAGTAATATATTTCATATTTTTATATTGGATTCTTTATTTAGCATTCAAAAAAATTCATCAATATAAATTTAGCACTTTCATATAAAGATTGTATTAATTCATCACTAGGTTTAAGTTATGCAATTGAAGATACTATTCCACTTAATACAGCTAATCCTAATTCTTTAGTTTTCTAACAATTAGTACGACAATGAGAGAGCCATGTTTTTATCAATTAAAGTTCGAATTCAACACCAGTGATCCAAATATTGGTAGATTCTATTTTCATCAAAATTTCAATATTATCTATTTATTCTAAAAAAATTTATTTTAAGCTCTCTTTCATAAATCTATCTTCATTTTTCAATTGATATGAAAAAATAACTCTTATTAAACAATTACAAATTTAAAGTAAATAATAAAATAAATATCCTGAACTTTTTAAATAAATATCAAGACATTTCATTAAGTTTTCTAAAGTACTTTCAATTAAAGGATAATGTTTTAAGGTCATTTAATCATTTAAACACAAGGACTAAATATTAATAGCATTATCTTAAAACCATAAAAATGCTATTAAAACATCATTTTTTTTCATTTTATCAAATATTAGAAATGCTTTCTCTGAAATTATATTTGAATATTTTTAAATATTTGAAGAAAAATCCGCTGGAATATAACTTGGCAAATTAGAAGTTTAAGAAGCTTATTCTATCGAACATCCACATCCGCCACCTCTTAACATTTATTTTTGTAAATCTTATACTAATTTTTGTGAGGAACTGTTTTTGTTTCTCAAAATTCTTTCAAATTCTTGGTTCAATTATTAAATTTTTGTTGTATTTTTGCAACATTTTGCTTTTCTTTTCTTAATGTTCATCATATTATAATTAAAATAATAATATCATTTTTCAAATTAATATCCTTTTATTTACAAATTTTTATAACTTTTTATAAAAATTTTATGTTTCCTATATTAGAGAATTATTTTTTTTAATTCACTTAAACTCTATAAAATTATTTTCTCTATTCATTCTTTTGAATTAATTCAACACATTTAAGCTTTAATTGATACATTACATTACTTGTGTTAATGATCTTTAAAAAAAATCAATATTTTAACTTTTAGATCATATTAATCATATTAATATATGGATCATTTGATTATCATCTGTAATACATTCAAGAGTTATAATCCAGAAAGCTATAAATATAATTTTCTGGCTTACCAATATATATTAATCCATGTTAGTTAGTAAATTCATTAAAACAGTGTGGTGTTTCAATTGATTGATAGAGTATATATATTGTAGTAATAGATAATATTCATTATATTACTGTAAGTCTAAACCTTATTTTTCTACATTTTTGATTGGTATATTAAAATTTTTTTTCATTTGCTTAAAAAATTAAATACTTCTAATACTTTGTATAAGTTTAGTATTTCTAGCAAACAATTCACTTTTTTAAAAACTACTGCCCAAATTTTAACAAGTTAGTAAGAATATAAGATCAAATTAAAGATGTTAATATCATTCTATAAAAATTTTTTAAAGTATAAAATTATCCATTAATATTGTTGATAAATTAAAGCAGCATGGCATTATTAAAAAAATTTAGTAAATTAAGTATTAGATATTTTTATATAATCCTTTTATACTAGTATTTTAAATTATTACAACAATTTTTAAAAAATAATTCTTTTTTAAACTTTTATTTTAAACAATTATTTAGATAAAATTATATAATTATTTTAAATTATCTAATATAATTTGTAAAGGCTAAGATATATGCCCAGACTAATAAATTATGAACCATCACATTCAAAAATTGAGAGGTTGCAGAAATCATCATCATAATGTACCTATCTATGATAATTCAATTATAATATGTAGATTGAATTACAAAGGTAATCAAGGTAAGGATTAAAGAAAATTTCATTTAATCAAAATATTCTAAGAAATCTCGATTGAATATTGATTTAAACATCAATAGTACTAAAAATAATTAGAAGAAAATTCTCATTATATTAGTTTTGTATTATTTTTTATGATTATTCTTTAAGAAAAGTGTTAAGATTCAAAGAAACTTAAATAAATCTATGTGAATTACGTAATGTATATAAATTAAGGAAAAAATTTTGATAGATATAGTTATCCATCTATTGCCATTAAAAGATGTTATGAATTAATAAATCAAAGTGTTTTTGTAAGAAGTTTAATAATAAAAATATAAGAAATTTGAGGATGCATTAATGTAAGTAATAAAGTTGTAAGAATCTCAAAATATTGACTAGTGTAATCTGATTTTAATAAAATAAATCATAACCTCTCTATTGGCATATTGATATTATTATTGTAATTTTAAGGGTTGATATCTCTCAAAGTGGAGTAGATAGAAGAATCTTAATATCTATTTAATTTCATAGAAACCTTTCTTTCTATTTTTCAAGAGAACAAAAAAAAAGATAAAAATTCATAAAATTATCCATGAATTTATTACAATGTTTGACTTAAAATTATATGATTCCATCCACAAAAAAATATTTAAATATCCAATCCTGAACTTAAATATATTTCAGATTAATTCAAACTTACGAAAAAGAATAAGAAATTAATACTGAATTAGAAATATAAATTGAATAAAAACTCTTCATCAAAGTAATCCTTAATTAATATATCATAATATTCAGATGATTAATCCCTACAATCTATTTTCAAAATTAATTTAAATAACTTATAGATATATAATTAATCACATAAAATTAGATTAATAAATTAATGGTGGATTTACCGAGAGAATCAAATGGATTATTTAATTAGAAGAAGATAATCAATAATGCTTGAAAATAAATTTAAACAACCTCAATAGATAAAAGATTTCGTTATGACAAATTATTTCTAATTATATTATATAATTATATCTTAATTATTTTTTATCAAGTAAATACAATTCTTCTGTGATTTATGCATTTTTCTAATTGATCTAACATTTTTAATATTTATAATCTGCAATGCATAAATTAACATTGAAATTTTTAGACCAATCAATTGAACAGAAATACTAGCTAGAAAATCAATCTCCTAAAAGAAGAACACACTTAAAAATATTTTTATCATTTTTTATAGTACTTTAGATCATTAAGCTGATTATTGCTTTAATAATAAAGAATTATGCAACAGTCTACCCTACACTTGGCATGATGGGATGCACAGCTTTTTCGAAATTCTTTAATTACAATAAAGAAAATCATTAACGGGCCTTAATTATTTACATTAACATTTGCTTTACAATTTATGTTGTCTTTTTTGATCCTCATTTAGATACTCCCACTATGTATTTTAGAGGTGCACATTAAATGGCCATTAATATAATTAATATATTAGGAACTGAATTTATAGATTCAACCTTTACTATTATTGCGTTGTATTTACTTAGAATTTTTCACTTTATCTATAATTCTTCTAGTGTTGACATTACAACTGTTTTAATGGGCTTAAGTGCTAATATAGCTTTGATTATAGTTTTCTATTTTTATCATAAAGCAATTAGATCATAATTTCTCTTAACGAAAATCGATTAAAGATGGGAAAATATATTAAAATAAATTCTTCATAATTAAAAATTTATCTTAATAAATTATCAAATTGAAAAATTGCAATTTTAAAGTATAACGTCAACATTTTCTTAAACTATTTAATCAGAAGAGCAGGTTCTTAACTTTATAAGGAAAGCCAAGGTTGAAAATAATACTTTGGANCTCTTCATCAAAGTAATCCTTAATTAATATATCATAATATTCAGATGATTAATCCCTATATAATTAATCACATAAAATTAGATTAATAAATTAATGGTGGATTTACCGAGAGAATCAAATGGATTATTTAATTAGAAGAAGATAATCAATAATGCTTGAAAATAAATTTAAACAACCTCAATAGATAAAAGATTTCGTTATGACAAATTATTTCTAATTATATTATATAATTATATCTTAATTATTTTTTATCAAGTAAATACAATTCTTCTGTGATTTATGCATTTTTCTAATTGATCTAACATTTTTAATATTTATAATCTGCAATGCATAAATTAACATTGAAATTTTTAGACCAATCAATTGAACAGAAATACTAGCTAGAAAATCAATCTCCTAAAAGAAGAACACACTTAAAAATATTTTTATCATTTTTTATAGTACTTTAGATCATTAAGCTGATTATTGCTTTAATAATAAAGAATTATGCAACAGTCTACCCTACACTTGGCATGATGGGATGCACAGCTTTTTCGAAATTCTTTAATTACAATAAAGAAAATCATTAACGGGCCTTAATTATTTACATTAACATTTGCTTTACAATTTATGTTGTCTTTTTTGATCCTCATTTAGATACTCCCACTATGTATTTTAGAGGTGCACATTAAATGGCCATTAATATAATTAATATATTAGGAACTGAATTTATAGATTCAACCTTTACTATTATTGCGTTGTATTTACTTAGAATTTTTCACTTTATCTATAATTCTTCTAGTGTTGACATTACAACTGTTTTAATGGGCTTAAGTGCTAATATAGCTTTGATTATAGTTTTCTATTTTTATCATAAAGCAATTAGATCATAATTTCTCTTAACGAAAATCGATTAAAGATGGGAAAATATATTAAAATAAATTCTTCATAATTAAAAATTTATCTTAATAAATTATCAAATTGAAAAATTGCAATTTTAAAGTATAACGTCAACATTTTCTTAAACTATTTAATCAGAAGAGCAGGTTCTTAACTTTATAAGGAAAGCCAAGGTTGAAAATAATACTTTGGAATAATATTTATTTCATAAACTACAAGGTTTTGCTTCAAACTTTTTAGAAATTGTAAATCATTCTGTAAATGTCAAATTTGATAGATAATTAATGTTGGTTAATTATTCAATTTTTTTTGGAAATTAGCCAACTATCCTAATACAAACTGACTCATCATAATATTATTCATAAAATTAAGAAATTTAAAAAGTTTCTCATGCATATTTAAAATTAATGAGTGTTTTCATTAAGATTATTAAGCATAATAAACCTTTTGATAAAATACAATTCCATAATTTAGCTAATAAAATTTAATTTCAAGGTTTAATGATATCAATATGGAACAAATAAATTGTATAAAAAACTATAAGTTTAAAGAAATCTTTACTGAAAGTATAATCTTTTTGTAATCCTTACACTAAAATTAAACTTATAGATTCGGATTAATTTATTAATACCCTTCCCAAAATATTTTATTTATTATTAGCTTTCGTTGTTGATTGTACAAATAGTGAATAGATCAAAATGAAACATGAGAGTTTGGAAACTTAATTAATAAGAATTAAAATAAAAGGAAAGTTCAATATTCAGAAACTTAATTATTATACCTTTAAATTTAAATATTATTTGCTTCTCATTTGCAAAGAAATCAATGCAGATTAAAATTGTATAAACTTTTATTATGTTATATTTAGGTATTAATATTTAATTAAATGACGAAATCCTCTAACCATTTACAGATCTAAATATGCCCTATTAAAATTTAGGCGTGTTAAAGAATACACAAACTCATTAAAATTGATATGAATATTACTTATTCTAAAAAAAGAATAGTTTTAAGAAATAAATATAATAATTAATAGATAATAAAATTTAAATTCTAGAAAATTGTTTTTTTTAGTTTCATGTGCTGTTTTAGATTAGTATTTATCAGATTTAAAAAAAATTATTTTTCAAATTGATCATATTAATGAACAATCCATATAAAATTTTAGATATATAGACAATATAATTTGGAATGCTAATACTTTTTAAATATATTATTTTATACCTAAATTTTCGAATATTACAAATTTGAAGATTGTAATTGATACAATAAAATCAATATATATAAGGAACTTAACATAAAATATTTGTTTGCAATAATCAATCCAGATAAGGATTTAAATGTATGAGATTAGAGGAGACACATAAAGTATCTAATATAAGACTTGATAATGACTTCTAATGATTAAAAATATATTATAAATAAAATTGATGACCATCAATGAATTGTTAGTCACAGAAACATACGACTCGGAATATTTAATAGACTAGCGGAGAGTTTTAAATTATAGCAGGGTTGGTTTAGATAATAATTAAAGCAAAGATGAATAATTAAAATAATTGGTAGCTGATTTAGTAGATTAAAGATAAGAGAATTGGTATTGAAATCCAATTGAAAATTATACAGTTGTTTTAACATCAAAGATTATAATTTAACAGCTTTTAGAAAGAAAAATAATAGCATAAATGACTATATTGAATAGTGAGTCAATGGATTAATGCATCTCTAAAAAATTCACAATAAAGCATTTATTAATAAATTACTAATGAATCAAATGGTGAATTATTTAATACTTATTACTCATTTTATTTAATTTAATATTAATCCAGTCGAACTAATTCTAATCAAAACTATAAATTGAAGTCTTTTTTTATATTTTTTTATTATCAATCTATTTATTATTGTTCAAGCAACATAAAAAAAAAATAGAATTAGTATTCCTGGATACTTAATTATGGAAAAATTAAAGGCTCTTATGCAAGTTGGATGGTCAATAGAGTCCCTCTCATGCTTATATCTTTGATAATTTTAATAAGTAATTAATAATTTCATATATATACATCAGCTTGAGTTAAATACCAACTATGGTGAATATAAATTTGATAAAAAAGTTGGAAGATGGAAAATTTATTCTCGAAGGATGCGTATTCATAGTTTAATAGCTATTATTTATAATTATTTTATCTTTTTTTTTATTTAGAAGTCAAGTGGAATACAATAAAGATTGTTTTTAAGAATGGAAAATGGTTAGAATTAAGTGAAGATATTATAATAAAGGCCCGAATTAAGTGAAGATTTTAAATTTATATAAATAAATTGAGGACATTTTATTAGCGATAAAAATTCATAAGTTGTGTTTTAATTATAAATAATATTGTATAAAGAGAAATAAATATTAATATAAATTTAATGTTGAGTTTATACTAAAAATGTTAATAAGATTTTATTTATTTCTGTAGTGTTGTAAGAATGTACTTTCTCATAAGTGACTTTAAGATACAAAAGTTATTCAAAATCTTGATTCTTATATTGAGAATAGTACATTGTAAAATTAAAAGGAGAAAACTATATAAGGATTTAAAAAAAAAAAACTTTTAATACAGATAACATAATTTATAAATAAGTAAAACTAACACACCTAATTATAACAAAAATTCAGAAAAATAGAGACTATGAATAAATTAATCCTTAAAATTTTTTTATATAATAACATAAAATAAGAATATTAATATTTAATTTTTGTATTTATACTTTTAATATCAAGTTGGATATTTATAATTGTTAAATTTATTTATCTCATTTATTTATGGCTCCTTTTTCTAAAAATAATGACTCAAGATTTTCATTTTCGGTGCTTGTAAACGATGATCCCTTTATTTGGCAATTCTTTGCAAGAAATGGAGAACTTTTTGCAAAAACCTTATAACAAATAGGTGGTTAACAATTATTTATATTGTTTGAATCATACTTAAATAATTATACTGATCCATCTTTAAAAGCTATGTTAAATTTTTCACCGCAAGGAGAAAAACACCCTTAAGTTATTGAACATTAAAAGATTTATGGTTAAGTTATTGGTTAGCCAGTCGAACTATTATAGATTCCCAATATTTTGCTATCGCCATATAAACCTAAAAACACCTATTCATTTGGGGAACAAGACAAATACTAAGTTTCTTCCTCATAATTAAATTCGTACTATTTATTTATTAAGAATTTCCAAAAAATAATTTTAGTTTTATCTTACCAAACTAAAGTTTCTGAACCAAAAAACTTAATATTTTCAGTACTCTTTTCATCAATCATGGTTTTCTTATTAATTAACTATCTCTCTTAGTTATAAATAAAAATAGTGGGATCTATATTTGGAATTATTGATTTATCATTAAAAATTTCAGATTAATTGAATTCATCAAAAAAATTGTATTCATGTTCAAATAATTAATAATTTCTATCAGATGATTCTTTTATAAATATTTAATATTTTCCATCAAATGACCCTTTTATAAAACGTTTTTTGACATCGTCATCCACCTGATGTAATTTTTTAACAGTAGCAAGGAAAAGATTAAAATTATAATCTTGAATATGAATTGTATTATCATTCCCAACCAATGCTATTCTGCATTCTTGATCTTATTGACCTTTTTTTTTATCTTATAAAATCTTGAAAGCATTAACAGAAATATTATTTTTCAAAAATCGTAATTGAATCTAATCTTTATTTGAAATATCCCATAATTTAATGATTTTGTCCTTCCCTAGTGATATTAAGAATTAACAATTTTAGGAAAACTAAATTGCTGAATTGTAATAATTACGATAACTTTTAATTACTTCAACATTATACAAAGTAGCTAATTTGTTGATTTCAGCTGAATTTTTTAATTCATATATATGAATTGTATTTGTATCTCTATTTGATGCAACTGCGAATAATTTATCTTTTGTACAAAAAGCATCAATAGTTTTAATTTTTTTAATCGGAAGTTTGTTTAATAATTCTAAATTCTAAAAAACTTGAATATATTATTTTTAGAAGAAGATAAATTAATTCTCTTAGAATGGAAATATATTTGTAAATTCTTCATCCGAAGCAATCTCTACTCTTTTTATTTCAATAATTGGAATGTTATCAACTTTGAAAACCAAATATTCTTTCCTACATAATAATATCAAAAACTCATCATTAAAAGAGAAACAGAATGATCTAATTTGATCATTGCATTTAATTGTTTAGATGATTTCCATTTACAAAAGAGAAAATATAAATATTTCTTAAGATACAATTTCTTCCTAATCAGATTATATTTCTTCTTAATCAGATTATATTTCTTCCTAATCGGATTATATATCTTCCTAATAGAATTATATTGCCATTATTTTTGAACCATATGATAAACAAAAACTCCGAACTTTACGTTCTTAACAGTCCTTAGTCTTTATTTCCCTCAATTTTTTTTCAGCATCTACTTCAAATATTTAGAACGTACTATGAGCTATGGCATATTTGCAATTATCCGAAATAGTTAATTTTATGATGGATTGTTAATTGGTAAAATAAGAAGACAATTTATTCAATTTTTCTGCTTCTTTCAGATTCCAGAAAATGCTATATTTCTCAAAAATTTCGATTATCTGTTAAGAATCAGAAGTAAAATAAAAGTATTTTCTTTTTGAATCAATAAATGGATGATGGTATAATTTTCGTAATTATTCAGATAGAACAAATCTTTCTATAATAAATTTGCTCATGAATTTAAATACCACTATCCCTTTATATATCATACTTTTGAATGCAAAATATTTACCATTATTATCAAATTTACAATCTACAACATAATCATTATCTAATTCATTTAACAATTATAATTATTCTAAATCCCAAAATTTTATTCCAGAATATAATACTTAACTATCTGATGGTTATGATTCAGAAAATAAAACTAAACCATCTGGTGAAACCAATATATTTTGTAATGAGTCAATATGTCCATCCATTTCAAAATTCTGTTATTGCCTTAATGCTTTAAAGTTCCAAATTTTTAATTTATTTTTATAACAACCTACTAACATGCCTTTAGTCGATATCAAGACTCTATCTAAAGAATCAGTGTCCATCTTTTATTTAAAGAGAAGCTTATAAGTTTTCATATTCCAAACCTTAATATGAGAATCTTCATAAGCACTCACAAGATATTAATCATCTTCTGACAATTAAAAATCCTTTAATTTTTAATCTTTATCTTCAATTGTGTTTGTAGTATTCTTTTTTAAATCAAAAATTATAAATTATGGCTTATTCTTTTTTTCTCCTCTAAATATCCATAAATCTACTGTATTTGTTTGTAAGATATCGTATACTTTAACTTTTACAATTAATTATAAACTAGTCTTTGCATTGATTTTTTAAAAATAAAGTTTATTACCATATTATGAAAATATCTCTATAATATTGGTACTTTTTTCTTTTTTTGAAAAATAAATAAAATATTATTCGGCTTTATCTAAAATATGAGTTCCAGAAATATTATGGATAGAATGTGTTGTTGAAAAAGAAATTTATCCTTCTTCATTTATAAATATTATATGCTATCCATCAAAATGCTATATAAATTTTTTATCTTTTTATGTAAAACCAACTAATTATGGTTATTTAAAATTATCAAGATCAAAACGTCCAATTATGAATCGGACCCCTATTATAAGATATTGATTATTATTCATAAACATCATTGTGTGAGGTATACCAAAACATTCAGTAGATTTAAGCTTATGAAGATTTTTTCGATCCTTTATTGTATATAAATCAATTTAGATCTAATCTTTATTTTTATGTGCTATTGCTAAAATATCATCTACTTCGGATAATGATAAACGGCAAATATCAGTAGTTTCAATATTAGTTTGACTCATAATTTCAGTTTTAGAAATATCCATTATCATAATTTATTTTTTTTGAGTTGCAAAACATAAAATAGAGGAATCTGAAGAAAAAAAAGCTTCAATTATTGTATATTTTTATATATAATAGTAGCTTTATCCTTCTATCTTCTAAATTTCTATATATTCATTTTCAACTGTCAAAATTAATTAGCAACTTTAATTTTCTAATTATAGATTTTAACAAAATTAATGATCTTTAGTTAATAATTCTTTAAGAATAAATTTATAATTATTCTTTAAAAGTTAGAAATCATCACTATTTAAGCTAAAAAATATGAGTTTATTAAGAATTTCAAGCGTATGCTCTATTACAAAAATATTCTCTTATAATTACCAAATTTCAACAATTCCTCTATAATATGTAGCAAATCTATTGCCATCATCATTAAAAGTCGCGAAACTGGACTCTTTATCGAATTCTTAAATTTTCTTACCACTCTAAATTTCCCAAACATCAAAATCTCCGGATCTACCAGATAAAATCATATGACCTTATTTTTTTGATACAACTAAAAATTTAATTCTGCAGTAATTTTCGATTTCCCTAATAATGATTGGCTCTTGAATGTTTGACATATCCCAAAGAACTATATTTGTATTAGAAGTTGATATTAAAACTTATCCATCAGAGGAAAATATTAGGCTAGATATATCATCCTCATAAGTAAATTTCTTCATTAATTTCATTTATTTTAAATCCCATATAAAAAAAACTTACTATAAAGCAAATGATATTAAATATGAACAATCATTTGAAAATTCCAAAATTTACATTTCATATTATTCATCTTATTCTAAAACCCCTTAATACTATATTTAATTAAGTTCTTTAATATTCCAAATATGAGTAGCGAATTTTCTTGTACAAGCAAATAATTCGAAATTGTTTGAAATAGCTGCAATCACATTTTTTGAATCTTCTAACTTATGTTATATTCTATATTTTTACTAAAATTACTTTATATCGATAGTCTAATATATAGTTAAATACTCACTACCATAAAAAGTGATATAATTGTTGTCCGGGGATATCAAGGCTGTTTCGTTTTTACTTAAGCTATAAAAAGAGCAAATTTTATTAATTTTTCTTTGATTGTTAATTTCCATAATAGTGTGCTAATTATATTGGGTTATAACAAGATAATTTCCATTTTTAGAAAAAGCAATATTATAATCCTCTTCATTGAGTTCGATTTCTTGAACTTTTGTGATATTTTGATAATCTTGAATATCCCAAAACATAATTTTTGTATCAATTACAATGGCTAGAAGTTTTGCATTTAGAGAAATTGCCATTTTAAGGTTATTATATTTCAAATCAGGTATTGTCTCATTAGTTGTTAATCTATTATTCATTTTTAAATTAATAAGTTCATTAAACCAAATAATTTTCTTACCCATTCTTATCAGCATTTAATTTCCATCCTAACTAAGAATAACTTTTATATTTCTTAAATCTCTTAGAATTATACAATCATCATTGTTTATATTATTATTTTAATCGTGCAAATTCCAGAGTTATATTGAACTTTCTGTTTTGCAACACATAATTGATAAATTTTTAGCTATTTAAATTGATTTAATCTCATCCTTAAATTTCAAATTAAATTTTCTTACTATTGGTTTTTAATCAAATTTAAAATTAAATTATCTAAGTATTATTTAATCCTAATTAAACAAACTCAAAGTATAAAATTCATCTCTTTTTTCACTCAAAACTATTTCTAGAAATGTTTCACCTTCATAATCCTTCGTTTATCGTTCTTTAGTAATTATATTACTCCATTCTGCATCAGTTATGATAGCATTATTAAAATTACAAGAATCAATAGAAACTTAATTAAAAACGGTCTTAGATAACAAACTCTCACAAAAATTAAGTCCATTTATGCATGTGTCTGACAGACAAACAGAATTGAAATTTTATCTTCCTAGATTTTTTCCTAAAAAACTCAAAAGAAATATAGAATTTGAGGCTAAACGAATAAACTTTGAGTCTTTTTACTTTGATAGCTGAACTAATGACACCAATAATTTTGTAATATCATCTTTATTTTATAGTTTTTCTTTAAGTAACAATAAAGCCCCTTAAAAATGTTCATGCGATATATTAAATAAATTATTGTACATCCAACTGTTTTCAGGTAATTTTTCATCAATTTATTATTCATCACTCAATTTATTATTATATATATTTTCTAATTGATATAATATGTATTTTGCAACAAAAAATTCTTATATTGATTTATGAGTAAATGAATGTTAACTTCCTTTAGAGCTCAATAGAATACATTTTCTTATTAGCTTTTTGTAATCAGAATCAGAATCCAATTCACTAAAATATTAATCTTCCCATTATAATTATTATTTTTACTTTTATTAACTTATTGAAGAAAGCATTAATCTACCTTTTGGCTGATAATTCACTTAAAATTATTGATGTATTATCATATCTAAAGCTAAAGATTAAGAAAACTCTAATAAATCAATTGAAATCATCTGTTAATTAGATATTTTTCCTAATTCAATCCATTTTTATATCTATTGTTAATGGTAGTAATTAACAAACATCTCATAAAAATCATAAGTAGTAAATTAGTTATTTTTTAAAGATTAATAAATTACTTCAGCATCAAATTTTAATTTATATTCCACATTTGATTGTTTTATAGAAGAATCCTTAAACTCTACTTTAGAGGATATTTAGTACTTGTCAAAAAAGCCTTGATCTTCTAATTCCTAAATAATTTCAGATAATGGTTTTTCAATTTCTTCGTTAAAATTGACTTCTTTAAAATTGTCTTCTAATTTATTTTCTTTTTTTGATTTATAATATTATAACGCTTAATTTTATTAAAGTATTTAAAATTTCAATTTTTTATAATTATTTTACAACAACTATCTTATTTTCGAAGATTGTAAATAGTTTTAAGAGATTTTTGGTAAAATTTATACAATTATCTCCATCATAAACGGTGTTTTCAAAAAATCATTAATTTTTAAGTTTTGAATTGTTTAGATGAATATTTATTCACTCCATAATGAAAGAAGTCCTTTTTATAAAAATAAAAACTATTGGTCTTTAACAAATTAAAATTGTGGTATTTATTTTAATTTTTTAACTATTTTTTTTGCATCTTGATCTTGCACAAGAATATCCTAGTTTTATGAAGCTTTTATAATTTCCTCTATCAAACTGTCTAGTTATAAACAAATGTCTCTAAATTCAGAAAATATAAATCCACTGCCTTTTAATTATTTAATCANTTATTATTCATCACTCAATTTATTATTATATATATTTTCTAATTGATATAATATGTATTTTGCAACAAAAAATTCTTATATTGATTTATGAGTAAATGAATGTTAACTTCCTTTAGAGCTCAATAGAATACATTTTCTTATTAGCTTTTTGTAATCAGAATCAGAATCCAATTCACTAAAATATTAATCTTCCCATTATAATTATTATTTTTACTTTTATTAACTTATTGAAGAAAGCATTAATCTACCTTTTGGCTGATAATTCACTTAAAATTATTGATGTATTATCATATCTAAAGCTAAAGATTAAGAAAACTCTAATAAATCAATTGAAATCATCTGTTAATTAGATATTTTTCCTAATTCAATCCATTTTTATATCTATTGTTAATGGTAGTAATTAACAAACATCTCATAAAAATCATAAGTAGTAAATTAGTTATTTTTTAAAGATTAATAAATTACTTCAGCATCAAATTTTAATTTATATTCCACATTTGATTGTTTTATAGAAGAATCCTTAAACTCTACTTTAGAGGATATTTAGTACTTGTCAAAAAAGCCTTGATCTTCTAATTCCTAAATAATTTCAGATAATGGTTTTTCAATTTCTTCGTTAAAATTGACTTCTTTAAAATTGTCTTCTAATTTATTTTCTTTTTTTGATTTATAATATTATAACGCTTAATTTTATTAAAGTATTTAAAATTTCAATTTTTTATAATTATTTTACAACAACTATCTTATTTTCGAAGATTGTAAATAGTTTTAAGAGATTTTTGGTAAAATTTATACAATTATCTCCATCATAAACGGTGTTTTCAAAAAATCATTAATTTTTAAGTTTTGAATTGTTTAGATGAATATTTATTCACTCCATAATGAAAGAAGTCCTTTTTATAAAAATAAAAACTATTGGTCTTTAACAAATTAAAATTGTGGTATTTATTTTAATTTTTTAACTATTTTTTTTGCATCTTGATCTTGCACAAGAATATCCTAGTTTTATGAAGCTTTTATAATTTCCTCTATCAAACTGTCTAGTTATAAACAAATGTCTCTAAATTCAGAAAATATAAATCCACTGCCTTTTAATTATTTAATCAAATCATAAAATTATGATAATTCTCTTCTTATGCTCAGCTTAATAAATAATTCTATGTAACGACTACTTTATTTTTAATCAAATGGAACCAATTAAACTTCTTTAAATGTATCTGGTGTCTTTCCATAAAACCAAGATTAATAAGATGAAGAAGTTAATATTTCTTCTCTACAAGTGATGATAACTTTGAGATTTTATCCAGATTCTTTAAGATTTTTATCTTATCTCAAACGATTTGTTGTAATTAAATTAGTTTAAATAAATTCATTTTTCATCTCATCATAACTATCCAATATCAAAACAATTTTTAAATTTTCATTTTAGATTGCCTCTTTAAATTCTCTTATTTATAATTTATCAAAATTGTAAATTTCTGATTCTAATGCCTAATCAATTAAATTATGTAAAGGATCACTTAAAGAAGGTAAAGAAATATAGATTGGATACCAATCCGATTATTAAGTATTAAATTTCCATAAAAATTCTTCAATATTTCTTGCAGCTCTACTTTTGCCAGAACCAGCCTTTCCTTTTATTAATAATACATCTTTATATCTTTCTTTCCATAAAAATTTATTTATTTCACCATTTTCATCATCATTTTAATCATCTTTTAACAGAAATGTGATTTTAGGATTACTTTTATCATCAGTTATTTTTTATCCAGTTTTATCAAATTCTTATGTTCTCTATTCAATATAAATTTAATTTAATTCATTTTCTTCCTTTTATTTTAATACTTTTTCTTTTCTTAATTATAATAATTCATAAATATTCTTACCTCTCAATCTTCTAACATCATTTCCAATATCTGATACATTTTTTATTAATTGATCTAGTTTACATTTTATTGTTTACAAATTTTTGCTTATATCTTTTAAAAAAATCATTTAAATATCTAATTTTTCAGACATATCATCTAAATTATCTAAAAATATTTCGAATTCATCATAAGCTTGCTAAAACTAAATTTATAATTCCTCTGAATTATCATTTGAAAAGATTTGCTTCTCTAACTTCTCAATTTTCTTTAATTTATTTTTCATATCTTGTTTTAATTAATTTGAAAATAAAGAAAGATCTTTTGAAAATAGTTATTTTTGCATTTCAATCATCTCCTGATTTTATAAGACTCTCCTTACGCTAGGATTTTTTTCAATAATCCAAATTTGTTTTAAAAGGTTAGAACATATATCTTATATTGTTCCCTCCTAAACAATATATTAAGTTCTAATCAAATTAAATGCAAGTAATTCTCTCACTTTATAAGAATTATTCTCAAATAAAGTCAATATCCCTAAATTTTATTATAAATCAGATTCCAAATTTTATTACTAAAACATAAAATTCAAATGCTCATCAGGTGTAATTTCTTCAAATTAATTTTTCATCATATGTGATTAATTTATATTTGAATCAAATAACGTTAAATAAGATTAATATAAATCGCATTAGTAAGATTAATTTAGTGTATTTTGTTCTTCTTAATCAAAGATATTCTAACTAATATTTTCCATTTGTTATTATGTTATTAAAATTTACTCTTAAAGGTTTTTTAGAGTTGGTTCCATATTAAAAATTTCTTAAGCCTGTGTGTTTGAGTTTTATTCTTTATTTAGATCATTTTGTGTCATTATATGTATATTTAAATTAATCTTTAATACAAGTCTTATTTTTTTCGTCATTTACAAAATATTGCTTAAAGATTTGATTAATTCAGATTCTTAAGAAAAATCATTTTCTTTTTTATTAGATTTATTTGTTTATTGTTTCTCACCCTTTGTTAAAAGTAAAGAATTCTTTCTATTGTAATCTTGATCTTCATTGGTCAAATTTTCATATTTTTTCTCATAAATTTCTAAAACTTCTTTTAAAATTTAAGTTTTATTGTTGGGAGTAAATAAAAGTTTCTATAATTTATTAATTACTTCTTTAAAAATAGTTATAAAATTATTTTTAAATTGTTAATCGAAATCGCTTTTAGAAATCTCTTCAATATCTTTATGAATTGATTTAATAACATCAGCATATTCTTAATTTTCTCCTAAATGAGCCTCAGTAGAATTATTTTTACTTTTAATTGATTCTAATTTTTCTTTTTGGCTTTTTATTTTTTTAAGAATTTAATCTTTAAATTTTCTCTTATTTTTATTATTTATATTATTTTCTTATGATTAACTCAATTATTTAGTTAATTTTTCTTAAACTATCTTTAATTTAATACTATTAATTTATAAAAGTCGATAAATGGTAAAGATCATAAGAATAAGAATTCTACACTCAATTAAATACTATTGATAATTTGTTGACTAAAATTCCCATTTTTCAATTGAGAAATTCTATAAAATAAATTATTTTGATTTAACTATCATTTATTTGAAAAAAGATAATTTATAAATTTTTTTTAATTTTCCTTACAGTATTTTAAATGACATAGTATCTTCAAGAACTAATTGAAATGTTTTTTAACATAATATTGATGTAAAATTTATTTAAAATTCTTTTATTAAGTTAATTAACATATTCACTTGATCAATTATCTGAGTAACAGTAGAATTAAATAATACTTAATCAAAAGCATTTCCTTCATCCAATTCCTTTTAATCTATAGGTTTTAAAACATCATAATTTATATATATAAATTTAAAAAAGGGAAACCAAACATCAAATACTTCATTGAGTTTCAATTATTTAAAAGATTATTTTATTTTATCAAAGGAATCAAAAATTAATTACTTTTCTGATTTTAATTAAAAAGCTTCTTCATTTAATTTTAATGTTTCCATAATTGAGTTAATTTTTACTTTTTCTTAATTTAATTTGAAATCAATTTCATTACAAATATAAATGAATTATAAAGTTTTTTATTTTAATTATTTCAATTCAGATTTTAGATCTTATTTTTAGATATTGAGTTTTATTTATTTTACATTTTTAGTATTAAATAATGATATTTTCTTTTATTTTAAATCATCAATTAATTTTAAAATCTCATCTCTTAAATTTTATAAAAGTTTATTTAATTTAACAATTTCATCACAGTTAGTTTAACTTCTCAATAACTATAAATTTAAATCATAATTGCTTATATTAGAGTTTTATTTATTATTAATTTCAAAATTAATATATTAATGCCATAAGTTGAGTTCATGAATTTCTTCAGATACGAGATACTCTTAAAATATTTTTAATTCCTTAAATATTTAATAGTTGGATGTTTCTACATTGAAAATTTGAACTCTTGCTTAATTTTTATCATAAGGAATAGACATAATATGTTAAGAATTTAATAGCTGTTTAAAAATTTCATGATCTGGTAAGGGGGATTTAATTATATACGGAATATTTTTCTTGTTAATTATAGGTCTGTATGAAATTAAGTCAGATAGTACATTTATCCAGCAAAAATGTATCATCCAGTCTTTTGATGGTTCTATATATTTTTTATAACCTTCTTCTATTTATTTAATATATTTTTATACAGAACATCCTTTCAATAACTAATTTAAAATAGACCATTTCAAGCTTTCAAAAAAGTAATATATTTCATATTTTTATATTGGATTTTTTGCTTAACATTCAAAAAAATTCATCAATATAAATTTAGCGCTTTCATATAAAGATTCTATTAATTCATCACTAGGCTTAAGTTATACAATTGATGATAATATTCCACTTAATACAGCTAATCCTAATTATTTGGAGTCTTAAGCATTAGTACGACAATGAGTAAGCCACGTTTTTATCAATTAAAGTTCAAATTCAACACCGGTGATCCAAATATTGGTGGATTCTATTTACATCAAAGTTTCAATATTAGCAATTTATTCTAAAAAAACTTATTTTAAGCTCTCTTGAAAAAATCTATCTTCATTTTTTAGTTGATAAGAAAAAATAACCCTTATTAAACAATTACAAATTTGAAGCAATTAATAAAATAAATATCCTGAACTTTTTAAATAAATATCAAGACATTTCATTAAATTTTCTAAAGTTTTTTCAATTAAAGGATAATGCTTTAAGGTCATTTAATCATTTAAACATAAGGACTAAATATTAATAGCATTATCTTAAAACCATAAAAATGCTATCAAAACATCATTTTTTTTTATTTTATCAAATATTAAAGATGCTTTCTCTGCAATTATATTTGAATATTTTTAAATATTTGAAGAAAAATCTGGAGGAATATATAATGAGAATTTAGCAGGTTAAGAAACTTATTATATAGAATTTAAACATCCGCCACCTCTTAAGGTTTATTTCTGTATATTTAATATTAATTTTTGTGAGGGATAGTATTCTTTGTTTCTCAAAATTCTTTCAAATTCTTGTATCAATTATTAAATCTGTGCTGTATTTTTGCTGCATTTTAATTTTCTTTCCTTTATGTTCAATAAAATAAAATAAAAATAATAATACTATTTGATAAATTTTTATCACTTTATTTATGAATATTTGTAACTTTCTACATAAATTTCATGTTTCCTATATATTTTGGAATTATTTTTTTAATTCTCTTAAACACTATATGATTTTTTTCTCTTTTCAATCTTTTTGATTTTATCCAACTTATTCAACTTTAAATTATTACATTACATTACTTTTATTTATGTTCTTTAAATTAAAAAAATATTTTAAACAGCTGATTTTAAGATAATTATACGATGATTATTTTATTATCATCTTAGAAGAATCAAGATATTAATCAAGAATTAAAAATTTATAATTCAAAAAAATTGAAAAATGTGTTTTTATTATAGAATCATGTTTTTTAAAGGTATAAAAATTATATATTAATAATGTTAATAAATTATATCAATATAGCAATATTAAACCATAAATTCATACTAAAATTCAGTTTATTTGAGGAAAGGAGGCAGGGGTGTTTTTATACTATAATTTTTACACAATTGTTAAATCTAAAATAAAATTTGAAAATA